CATGGGTCTATATGTTTGGTAATCCATTTGTGAATATGTTGAAGCAACCGAAGGTTTAACGGTTGATTGTAAGGTTACCTGTGCTAGCGAAGTGTTTGTATTTCTTGGTGTTGTCAAATTTGGACGTATTGGTGAAATACTTTGTTGTGTAGATGTGGTTGTTTGGACAATTTCTTCATTTATGAAGTGTGATTGTGTCTGAATATCTTGTTGAGTGAGATTTCTAGTTCCATTAAGGTTTTCATTGTGTATGACGGTCAAATTTAAGCTGTTATTTCGCGTATCGGGTAAAAATTTATTGTAGTTTAATGGTGTTGCATCAATTGTTAATGGTACTACTCTTACATAATCTCTGGTATAAGATATTGTACTTATTGCTTGACTTGCAATTGATTGTGGGATATTTATAAATGCATAATGAGACCATTCGGGGTCCCAAACGTAGTCTGACTGTTCTGTGATGGCGGTATCATTGTTTGAATTTTGAGGTCTGAAATTTTTTCTAGCTTGTGAAATTAAATCTATATTATGTGTGAAATAATCTATTATAAACCATGCCAAAATTTTTTGTAAGTCATGTTTTGTATGTTGTGAAACATCATCTTTAGTGAAATTTTCTTTAATTATATGTAGAAAAGTTGAAATTAGTGTGATTTCATGTCGTACCTTTATATGTTTGGATGTCTCTGTCGGTGAGACACTTGGGATTGGAATTTCGTTCTCTAATATTGAGATATAACTATATATTATGGCAAAAACTTCATTAGTGAATATGGAGTTTACTCTTTGTGAGTTATGATATTGTATGCTTTTTATGTATTCTGAGAATACTTTTGAAAATTCTAAATCAAGGTCATCTGTTTGAATTACATATTTGCGGTGATTCGGGTTTGGTGAGGTGAATTCTATGGTGTAGATTCCGTAGTGTTGTGTCAAATTACATATATCTTTCAGATAGTGATCAATAAGTTGTCTTTTGATTTTTACATCTGGGAACTCTGCTTTACATGGGCTGATTCCGGGTTCAAATAAATTTAGTAGTAAATTCTTGCAAAGTATATGCTGTCCTCTATCAGTGGGTGCATCTACGAGGAAGGGGAAGATATCGTCATCATCTAGACTATCTTCACTTGGAGTGTGTGTTTGGCTCATTTTTTCGTTTACTGACTGTTAATAGGTAATTATCGATGTGTCTAATTGGTTGATTCCAATTATATAAATGTACCGGTTAGTGTTTATATTGCTTTTTTATTCGATTTTTTCCTCTTTTTGATGAATTCGAAGTTGTTTCTGAGTCGGAAAAATATAATTGATCGTGAATGGGGCAATTTTTACCTATAGATTCTTTTAATTTATAAAGTTCGTCTAAATTGCTGACTTCTGATTCTGAGAATGCGTTTCTATTTTTGGAAAATCTTTTTCGTGTTATTTGTCTTTGTTTAGTTATTATTTTTCTTTTTAGTGTTTGTCGTTTTGTTCTAATATATCCGACTGTTTGTGTGTGAGGTGTGATTACAGGGTCGTATTTTTTGATATCTATTTCACAGTTGTGCAAAACGATTGTTTGTTTGTTTCCTAGATTTTTAAATGACATAAGGTTTAGGATGACGGATGCAAAAAGTTGTTAGATGATTTCTATTTTCTTAAATTGTTAATCCTTACGATTTTTTGGTTAGCTTAACCTGGGTCTATTTGTTCAGGGTTGGAGAGAAAAGTATATCGATTCCGAAGAATGATTTTTTACTTTCTCGTGGCTAGTATAAGCTAAGGTGTTAACTTACTTAATCTTACTTAAGGATTGTGATTGTGTACAAGGGTTGGAGAATAGTAAATCGATCCACAAGGTTCAGGTATAATTAGAACGCGAGTAGTTCGTTAGATACTATTTTAAACTTACTAAGTCTACGATTTATCCTGGGTCTTGTAAGAGGAGGGTTCAAGTGAAGGATGAATAACCGAAGTTCTTCACTGTTTATCCTAATTTGAATGGTTAGTTTTGTTGAAAATTTTCTATTAGTCTTGGGTTTTGAGAAAGGGTTGGATAGTGAATCGACGTTTGAGGTCGTTAGACACTGGCTAAGTTGGTGGGGGAGAACAAAATTGTTCTTTTTGATCCAAGGAGAGGCCTTGATGATCAAGTTTTAAAATTTAATTAAATAGAAAATAAATTAAGATCCAAGGATAAGCCTTGATGATCTGATTTTTTAAAATTAAATGAATTTAAGTTTAAAATGGTTTAAATTTGTTAAAGAAAAGATTTAGTGTTTGAATGATATTAGTGAGCTTATGATTGCTGTTATGTTTTAGGTGATGAAGCTGAGACAACTGATGATTTTATGATTACTAACAGTTTATTGTCATGCTACTAATTTTTATTTTGATTTTTAATAAATATTTTCCAAACATGTTTTATATAATACTGCAGAATTTTAGGAAAACGATCTGAGATATTTTTATCAATCTTTATTGTATATTAATATTTTGTTTAGCGCCTGTAATGATCATGAAGATTGGCTTCAAGATTTTATGTTTGCAAATGAAAATCTAAATTCATTGCTAATAAAATTCTAAATATAAAAGTTTGTGTTGGCTTTTGGCGTACTATCATATAACTATTTGGTAAGTTTCTACTTTGTCGTATGTCGTCTCTGGTTCGAGGTATTCTTCCAATTCCGGGTAGTTCTATTATCGTTCGGAATATTGGCTCTGATCTATTGAGTCGTAGAGACAATTCGATTAAATTATCGTCGTATAACATTTTTAAAAATGTTTTGTCTAAATTCTAATCTATTTTTGGTTAATTCTAAGCTATTAAGGTCTTGTTCGAGACTTATGGTCGCACCAGATGAGTTATATCCGAGGTGGTTAACTCATAGAGTAATTTCGGATAAGGTACACCGTCTGCTCGTCACGCTATCTTATTTTCGGCCGGATAGATTCGTGCAACTTCTTAGTCTAATACCGATCCTAATCTTACTCTTATACTATCTAGTCTCAGGTTGTTTAACTAGTCTCTGCTAGGCTCAATAGATCTAGGGTATACTGGTTTATTGCGGCTGCTGAAGTTCGCTTGGAGGGTCAACTAATTTCTAAGTTAAATTCAAATCTCTCTGGTGCTGAAATTACAAGTAATTTCAGCACTTACAAATAAGTGGGTTGTTAGTTAGATGGATCATGATTGGTTAATATTAAATACTTTACAGTGGTAAAATATCTAATTTATCCAATCATAAAATGTAGTTTAGATCAGGTTCCAAAGCGTCAAAAGAAGGGGGTCCTTTAGTTTTCCTCGACACTTGTCCACCTTCCTTCTAAACAGCTCCAAGATCTCTTTAACTTTTTACAACCTTTTTCAAGGTGACCTTTTTCAGGGGACATTCGTTACCAGGTACAAAATTCACACCTATGCTTAACCATTGAATGATTTCCTTATGGGGTGGTTACTAGGTTTGTTACTAGGTATCATAAGCTCCATTTAGGTTTCTTAGGTTTTCAGTTGTTGCGTGAAAATAAATAACCTAGAATATTAATAGAGCGCATCCTAGAAGAAAATCTTTTTTTTCGGTATCAGCAGAAGTTATTCAAATTTTCAAGTATTATTCATAATTCCCGGGTCGAGGTACCCGATTTCTGTTTGGCTTCCAAAGACGATAGCCGAGATTCTCTGGGGTTGGTGAGCCAAAAATTGATGTCTTAAAATAGTACCAAAAGAGCGACCCTTTGGGTGGGCAGGGGAAATCCTTGAAAAGTTAGGGGAAGCCATTTTAAGCCGGAACCTTAGTGCAAAATTTCATTAGTTACCACCTTAGACTGCGCTAGGTTTGCAGTAGTTGATAAATTGCTTATCGAAAATACCATTTTACAAGAGTTTTATAGAGTTCATAATGATGTTGAGACCCTGTGGGTCCCCATAAATTGCCTTAGACGACACTGAGGTCATCTAGGCGGGGTATTGGGAGTAGTTTTCAATTAGCAATAACTGCAGCTCGGATAACCTCATTGCTTACAGTACTGCACCTGCGCAGAGATACTTGATATGTCAGCTCCCAGACCAGTTGCTGGTGAATCAACAATCAAATCTAAATTATGTTGGCATTTTTGAACAATTTAAAGCCTTATTCAGCAATGTTCACTGCCAAAGTTCAACAAAATTAAAATAGATTTTGTTTAGAATCTTTAAAATCTAAAATTTGGACGTCGAGAAGCTCATTTTGAACCAAAAGACTGTTTTATAGAAATCAAGAGACATTTCAAAGTCATATGTTACAAAGCACACAATTTGATTCTTATCAATGGTTGGTCATATTGAACGTCTAGCTACTGAGAATAAGATTGCGTCTTTTGATAAGATTGTATCCGGATCTGACGCAAATGTGGGTGACGTTTCATTACGTATACAGTACCAATACGTATGATTATTTTAGTTATTGAGTTTCTAAGTGTTCGGTTCAAGCCATAATAGGTCGGAGGTAAGGTAAGGCCCCACTATTTTTGTACTTGAGACTGTCAGTTTTTGCCAGTTTTTTTCAGAATTTGTGACCTATTGTGTACCTATTCTAAACTCGTGTACCTATTTTACGGTAGGTCATACTTAGGGGGGATATTGTACGGTTGATCCTAAATTACCGTAAGCTATACCATACGAGACGTCACCTGACAGTCGTAGTTCAATTCATATCAACTACCAGGACCCTCCATTTCCGAACTACAAACACGCATGTGCTTGCAATCATTAGTCATGATGATATCCCTATGATATCGATATGGATCTACTAACAATCCACCTCCCTTTCAAGAAAGAGGGATTGTTAAGTAGATTAACTTAGTAGAGTTTTCGACCAATTAGAATGCAGCAAAAATAGAATTTATCAACGGAAATTTTTAGTGGTTCAATTTACTATTTTTATTTGGGGTGGAGCATCTTTTGTAGATACCATAGAGAGGGGGGGGGGGGGAATGTTAAGTATATCCATCAGTGTTTCTCAAAGTGCTGTTCTTACGAATCTTCTGGCGATGATGATGACGAGACAGAGGACTCCGACTGCGAGGAAAGCAGTGACACTGAAGGAGAGGTTGCTGGTCTGCACTGTGAATGCACCCCTTCCCAAATAGAGGTTGTAGACAGTCGAGATCACCCAGGGCACTCCCAGGCCAAGGAACACGTTCACGCTATTGCTGCCTGAAAACGAATGCCAGAAGGCATCTCTACAAGGGAGGAGGGGGGAGATTCAGGCTCTTTTTCCTTCCCCCCCCCCCCCCCCACCTAACACCAGCATCACTTTTATGGTGCAACGAGTGATTTTACAAGGTTAATTATGAACAGCAAATATGTTTGCCATACCCTTATTAGTCCGTATGCTAATTTTTATAACAATCGAACAATGTGAACAAATTTTTCATTGTAAAACTTTGCAGGTGGGGGGGGGGGGGGGGGGGAAGGAAAAAGAGCCGTGATTCATTACTATTTACAAAATTCGCATATGCTTAAACGTTGAATATATTCATTATAGGGGTGGCAATTTGTCACTAGGTTTCAAACGCGCGAAAGGAGGGGTCGATGACTAAAGCGATCCACACATTACAAAACAATGGTCAATTCCGAAAACACTCAACGTTCATGGCACGCAAAATATAAAGTTGGACCTAAAATTCCCAAAACTTTTCATTTCGATTTTTGATTGGTCGAACTTTTAACCAAGGAATACTACAGTTATTTAAATATTGTTCAAATAAAATCAGAAAAACCAGCCGAATATTTGTTCCTATCACTTCCGTAAAGGGTGCGAAGGGACTGTGGATCAGATAGTGTTTTTTCCATCCGATTTAATTATCTCAAGAAATCTCCTAGGGTCAATTCTTTTTATAATCATAATCTCTTTGGTCATGGCTCCTTAACTTTGGCCATGCTCTTGTGCCTTTGATCATGTTTTAACAACCAAACAGCCATGCCTCAGAAGGCGTAGGACTCAATATGAAACAATTCTCGTCACAAATGTTTATCAAAATGGCCTAAAACAGGTTTACACTTTTTGACTAGTTGAATACTTTTTGTAACTTATGACAAACACTTTTTTATTTTGGGTTCTGCGATTGATTTTTTTCTTTTTGGGAGCTAAGAATGCCCATTAAGGTGATGAAGATCTTTGATATAAAAGCGAGGAACATGGATGCAAACTTTGACATATTCTTGTCAAATGTTAGACTTTACTCCTTGTTTACTGCAAACATCCGAAAGGTCAAAAAAGCTGCAAGTTGTAAGATCTTGCGAAAGTTCAAAAAACAGCTAAGCTATTGCAAAGATCTAAATATTTTCAAGAAGTAAGGCAACATTTTTCGATTATTTCTAATCGTTAAAAGATAATCAAACTAAAAAGTAACCCAGTTGTTTCTTGACTTAATTGTTCATATTAATGTTGAGAACCTGTAGGTCCCCATAAATTGCCTTAGACGACACTGAGGTCATCTAGGCGGGGTATTGGGAGTAGTTTTCAATTAGCAATAACTGCAGCTCGGATAACCTCATTGCTTACAGTACTGCACCTGCGCAGAGATAATTGGTAAGTTAGCTCCTAGACCATTTGCTGGAGAATCAACAATCAAATCTAACTTATGTTGGCATTTTTGAACAATTTAAAGCCTAATTTAGCACTGCTCAATATGAAAGTTCAACCGAAATGAAATTGATTTTGTTTTGATAGTTTTACAATGAAAATTTGGACGCCGAGAAGCCTATTTTGAACCAAAAGACTATTTTATAGGAACCAAAGAGCCATTTCAAATCAAGTTCACACGTGCTATTCATTAGTCATTCAAAACAAAGTGTGAGTGACAATTCAGTCACTGTATTTGCACAGTTCATAGAAAATGATCGGATGTTTTTTTCTACCACTCGATCCTTCTGCCAAGGAGACTTGTTCCCGGTAGTTTTCCTTACCTGTGACGTTTCCGATGGAGGCGTCTGCGTACTGTTCGTGAAGGGCCGCTGTCCGACTGGCCAGAGTGTCTGGGAGGGAAGTGCCCAGGGCTATGATGGTGATGCCGGTGATCGCATTCTCCAGTCCAACAACACAACCCAACAGATTTCCCAGCTACGAAACAACACGCGCTCAATTCTAGTCTGGAAATTGTATTTTGTAATTATTACCCCGTTTGAAAAATTTACCCAGAATAAATTTGAGGAAACAAAATATTCACAACAACGCTCAAATTTTCAATGGTTGGTAACAATTGAATTTCAAAACATAAAAAAAAACAGCTGATGACTTTTGTTACAATTTGTTTTCTCGATACTTAAAAACATTTATATGAGCTGGGTGTTTTTTTTTCTGAATTAGTCCTACTCTTGATTGAACTAACCCTTTCGGAATTTGACGGAATTTTTTATACTACTTTAAATATATTGATACCCATAGCGCAAACTTGAAAAGATATTTTCGCTCTGATTTTTTTTCAAGGTTATGGGGCTTCGCAAATTACCATTTTAGTCGAAGTGTGATAATTAATGCACACAAATTTTCCTATACCGTAAGCTAGTGGCAAAAACAACAAAGCCGAAACTTGAACATTGTCTGACGGAACCAAAAAGTATTTATCAGTGCTGATTTACTCAACCCGAATAGCTGAAAAATGAACTCAAATTGGCGCAGTAAGTTTGAATTTAGTGCAGTAAAACTCAAATTGGCTGAAGATAAAAGTCCGAAAATATCGATTTCAATTGATGAACAAAACTAATTAACAAAAAATTTCCCCAGCCCAAGTGTCATTTTTTTTTGATAAACAAACAATTGATTGAGCAATTTTTCTAAAACAGTACAACATTCTTGAAAAGTTGCCTATAGTTCACAAACTGAGTTATGCTTTTCGAAAATCCTCTATTATTAGCACTTTTGATCAATTATTTTTCTGCACTGCTGCTCGCCAAAAATGCAATCTGAAATCACTCTAAAATGAGTAAACGCTACCTTATTGAGGTAAATAAGCCAACCGAAGTATAAACAACAAAAATGTAAAAAATGTGCAGAGTATATAAGCCAGCCGAAAATTTACAACACATGAATGACATTTGAATAACTTCCGTAACTGTTACATAATTGTAGCATAATTTTTATATAGCACCTATGTAGTTTCGGCTGATTGAGACTTCGACTGGTTTATACTTCGGCTGGTTTTTATTCTACCCTTATTGACCCTTTCAATGTGTTAATAAACTTAAATTTCTTAGTTTGCTTCATTGCATAGCATGTGAGGTAGAGATTTATTTTATTAGATTTGATTTTTTCTCAATTATTATTAAATATTTAAAAAAATATCATTTCCGCAACAAAACTTTTGAAGCACATTGATTAAAATTAAAGAAAAATATAAGAAAAATTAAAAAAAAAGTAAAGAAAACAGACTTGATTTTTTCTTCTCAAGAAATTTCATTGAAAAACCTTTGGCATTTAAGACTAATTTTGTTTTGGTTCTCCATCATGTTTTTACGCAATTTTTACACTATCTTCGTATTGATTTTCAATTAAGACTGCAGAGATTTTTGCTCATTGTTGCGCAAAAACTGTGAGCAGAGATTGTTGCGCATAGAGTTATCACGCGTCTCAATTGAAATTTTTTTTCTGAAAAAAGGGTTGCATTCCTAATTTTTAATGACTTCTCTAGGAAAGCACACTGAAAAAATTATAATTGACGCTTCTTCTACGCTCAGAAGAAAAACTAAAAAAAATCTGAAAAAAAAATGGATGGATTCTTTTCCATTTTTTTGAAATAACGTTAGCAGCTTAATTGTTTTGGAAAATGAATGAACTTGGGTTCTTTGAATTTCAAGAACAAATTATGTTAAACTTTTTATTGATAAAATTGACTCAATTTGAGAAAATTGAAGGATTAGAAAAAAATTATTTCGCTGGGAAGCGTGAAAAATAAGTTCCCATTTTCTAAATTGTAAGTCAATCACGTTTTTCGTGACCTTAAAGTTTTTCCTGTTCGCTTGTGCAGTTGCCTTCCTTTTAACAAAGGAAATGAACTGAATTTAGAAACAAATCAAAAGTCAAACTGTGAAAAAGTAAATTTGAACCTGAACAAGTCTTAAAACTTTTCCTGAAAAAAAATCATCGAGACTTATATAAAAGCCTGAATTACGTTCGTCGACTCTTAAAAACACTATATATATCAGAAGCTTTAAAGTTATTACAACTGAATTGTTGTTTCAATTGAATTTTTGACTTTCTGACAATTGTTGATAAGTATGCTTCCTAATACATCGTTTATTCAGGTTGGGACCTTGTACAATCCAGAAATGAAACCACATATCAGGGGCGGATCTAGGATTTTCTCGAGGGGGGGGGGGGGGGCGGATTTTCAAAAAAAATTAGAAAAATTTTAGGGTCGGTTGGCCAAAAATGGATTTCTTAAAAAGTACCAAAGGGGAGACCCTTTGGGTCGGCAGGGGGTCAAACCCATCCCCCCCCTAAATCCGCCCCTGCCACATATATTTAAGAAAAAGCTCGAAAAGACTTTCGAAACAAAAACATTTACGTCAAAAAAATTGGAAAAAAGGAAAATTTAAGAATCAAAGAATGAAAATACGTAAATTTTTTCTTCATACGCTATGTGTCTCTGAAGTTTTTTGAAAAACAAAATTTTAGGAATAAGTTTTGTTCTTGTCTTACTTTTCAGATAAACTAACTAATTTGTCCCCATTTATGTTAAAATAAGAACTCGCTCTACAATTATTAGAGGAAATAATTCGGCGAACTAATTTGTTTGACCCTGCCACTATTGATTTTAGCTAGGTCAAGTTATTTTATCCTAAGAGTTTTTAGCGTCAACTGAAAAAACGTCTTCTCTCTAGCAAAAGAGAGAATAAAAAAGCTGTGTGAATTAAAAAATAATAAATTGTTTGACATTTTACTTGGGCTTCTTTTCGTCAGTTGTTAAATTTTGAAACAGCGAATTTGACAAAAGTAGGTTTTGTTGTATTTTTAAATAGTATTGGGCAAAAGATCATTCTTTGCTCTGCGAAAGATTTTTGTTGTGATTTAAAAGCACCAGCTTAAAAAACGGATCTAATTACGTTTCATAGAACACTGTTGCCAGCTAAAAGCTAATTTGTTTATTATTGCTTTCAAAATTTGCAGTTTCTATAAAAATTAAAAACGAAGATTGTTAGTAAAGAATAAAAGAGTCGACTTTTGGCGAGCCCAATTAAAAATTGTTGATTTGAAATACGGTCAACATATCGCTTCCGAAAATTACATTTTGCCATATATTTTTTGAACACAATGGTAAAAAAAGAACTGACATTTCGATACAAGGAATGAAAGGCATTATGATATAAGGAAATTGCTAAAACATGATAATAAATATGCCAAATAAAGAGCGGTCAGCGAAAAAAGTTCTCTTTTTTCACGCCGAGCCTATTTGGACGATATGAAAAATAAATTCAAGTATTATAGTCTCAAGGAGACATTCCGAAAGCAACGACAGCCAAATACTAATTCAAATATGTATAATCTGAATAAGCTTTAATCAAAGTAATTCGGAATATTCTTAGAAAAAGAAAAAAAAATTATTATTATTTCGATTTTTTTCAACGCGCTTGCAATGTCGAATACAAAAAGATGTTTGTAAGTTCAATTTTTTGCCTACATTAGAGGCTAATTTTGATATATTTTAAACAGTAATTGACCCAAAGCTTCAATGTAATCGCTAATTTGTTTCAAAGAGGCAAAGTGAGCCCCATTTTTGTAACAAAATATTTACGGTCGTAAATTAAATTACACCGCATCAGTTTTGATTAAATTATAAGCAACTTTTGTTCTATTTTGTTGTCTTATTTTAACAACAAAGTTAAGAACAAAACGCACTTAGGCTCCGTTTTGGATCAAACGAGGCCCTGAAACGCACGAATATGCATGTCTTAGGTGCAGCGGGGGCTATGGAGTCGCTCCCGTTCTCGAAAAAACGCCACTAAATTTTTGCACAAAGTTTGACTCTATTCAGTTTTAACTAATCAAATCTAGAATTTTTGAAATAGAGGCAAAAGTAAAGGCTGATCACATTTGAACTACTTTTAAAAAAAGGAGCAAAAGTCTACAATATTCTCACCTCTTCTACGAGGAACACAAGTGCCCCAATATTAGCCAGGGCGAGCCAGAATGTGAGAGTTCCCCCCATATAGGAGGCAGGGGGGATGATCACTGCGAATATCACTTTCCACAGGAAAGATAGAAAGTGACCGATATAGTCCACTATCGTTAGCGGTTCGTCTTCTTCGTCAGAGAAAGCTCCCTCTCCGAATTCGAAAGACCTGAAAGCAGAAAAAAACTTAAACTAACGGTTAACTGACAGACGGAAAAACAAATCAATCACTATGAACGTTCAACCGATTGTGTGAAGCCACACATTTAACTTGAAAAAACTACTTTCGTTATTCATTTTTTGCGAATGAAAGCTTTTTTTTGAAGAAAACTTGAATAACAATTTAAAATCATCTTTTCGTCTAATAATGCAAAAACATAGCCGGAAAAGAATCCATGAGTCGGAAAATAATCAATGAACACAAGTAAGCAGAAAAAATACTGACTTGGTTTCTTTTAAAAAAATCTCAAATTCCGACTTTCAAAGAGAAAAAAGAGATACCCTTAAAGCTCGTTGAGTTTTTAGAACCATTTATGATCGACACTTTTTTGAACATAACCAACTAATAGTTGGAAAAAAACTAACAGTTTTCCAACTGTTAACCAACTAACAGTTGGAAAAACGCTAGGAAACTAAGGAAAAAAATTGAATTGTTTTTTCAAGAGCGTGTTCAACTTTTGAATTTCGAAGAAAAAAATAGATGGCCTTAAAGCTCTTTAAATTTGAAGAACAATTTACGACGGACATTTTTTTTTGCTAAAATTAACCCAATTTGAGAAAACTGGATCAATACTAAAAACTTTTATTTCGCTGGGAAATCTGATTATTTTCCATTTTCGAAATCAGAAGTCGATCACGTTTTTCGAGACTTTCACACTTTCGATGTTCGATAGTGGAGTTTGCCTTCCTTTTAACAAAGTAAATGAACTGAACTTAATAAGAAATCACAAGTTAAACCGCGAACAATCAAAACAGCGTGAACAAATTTGAAGACTTTTTCCTGAAAAAAAAAACAAAAAATCAGAGACCTAAAAAAAGTACTCACTATGTTCATTTCTCTTAATAAAACTGACCCAATTTGAGTAAAATGGATCGATAAGTAAAATTTGAAAACTGAAAACAGAATTCAACATTCTAAATTAGAAGTCGGTCACATTTTTGTGACCTTTACATTTTCGCTGGTCGATAGGAGTGTTTGCCTTCATTTGACAAAGGAAATGAGGTGAACACGAAAATAAATTATTACCGCGAAAAGGTAAGTTTGAGCCTGAACACATTTTAAGACTTTTCCTGAAAAAAAAACAAAAAATCATCCCGACGTATATAAGAATCTTAACTAGGTTCATTGACTCCTAAAAGTACTAAAAATAAATTTAATACGACAAACTCTTTGATTTGGCGTATCCACGCGTTGCACCGTCCGTCCATTTCGTCTCCGCCCCTGCTGCCGACGACCCGCAGCACGCGACTGTTGGCGTCACTGCCCCCCATGACATCTCCCAGCCCCTCCCCCGAGTAGTTTTTGTGGTCCTCCTCCTCCACACACAGACGCACATGGGTCATTCCGAACTCGGGCGACACTTTACACTTGACAGGGTTCTTCAGCAAAACGTAGAACGCTTTCTGAACACACGCCGCACATCAAATTTGCCATAAATTTCAGATGCAAACACGTTAGTCAAAAAATCAGATTGAAGTCATCATGAAAACCTGGTGTCATGCAAAGTGACGAGCAGCTAAGCTATCAGACAAGCAAACGCCTTTTGTTTGCGATTGCAAAAAAAAATACATAAAAAATTGCCGTAGAAAATTTGACCAAAAGAAAACTCATCCATAAAAATTTTTTTTTTTTATAGAGATAATATGCCAGAGCAAAAATTTTGGTCAGCTTTGCGTGGACTTAGAGCTACACATTGTTCTTTGGATCATTTTCTAAGCCCTTAATCTGCCATTATGTTATAGCTACTTTAATTTTAATTTTTTTTAAAGTATGCTAGAAAAAAAGTTCAACATCTGTTCATGAAGGGACCTTTGGGACTGCGTGGCACTTGATTGTGATTTGTTTGTTGGTCTCCTGCTGTTCGAACACCACCAGACCACTGCTAGTGACATAGTCCACTAACCCACTCTCCAAACTCACTCCCCCATGTGCAGAGTCAAGTCTACCAGAGGCAGAAAACAAACAAAACATCCCAAATTAAAATTAATCAAACACTGATAAGATAAGGTTTTTAAGGTTGTTAAACTCAAAAACGAAGATTATGGAGGAGTTTTTTCTTTTCTGCTACAAACCCCCTCCCTAACAAAATGTTAATATTTGTTGCAAAAATTTGTCGATATGAACTACTTAATTTTGATTTGATGCACAGTCTGACCCAGTTTAATTATGATTTTTTTTATTAAAGACCCCAGTCGAACTCGAAATCAGTTCTTGAAAGTGTAAATTCTGGTGGCTTTAGGAGCAGAAGTCATATATAGAGATTGTGCGGATCTTTATTTAAAAAAAGTGTCTGAACCCATCTTTATTAAATCAATCATCTCCTTAAAAGCGAGAGTAAATAAGCCAGCCGAAAGATCAACCAGCCGAAATTACGTAAGTATTATATATTACATATGTAACGATTATGTAACAGTTACGAAGGTTATGCAAATTCATTCATATGATGTAACAATTCGGCTGGCTCATATACTCCGCGCATTTTTGGTTGGTTTATACTTCGGCTGGTTTATTTACTCTCGCTTTTAAGGAGATGATTGATTTAATAAAGATGGAGTCAGAAGTTTTTTAAAATAAGGATCTGCACAATCTCTATATATGATTTCTGCTCCTAAAGCCACCAGAATTTACACTTTCAAGAACTGATTTCGAGTTCGACTGGGGTCTTTAATAATAAGTTCTCGATGAAACTGGATCAGACTGTGCATCAAAATTAAGTAGTTTAAATCGACAAATTTTTGCAACAAATATTAACATTTTTTTGAGTGAGAGGGGTTTGTAGCAGAAAAGAAAAAACTCTTCCATAATCTTCCTATTTGAATTTTTTTTTGCAGGTATGACTAAAGCTGAGAAAGTTGTTGACCTTAATGTTTTCCAGCAAGATTTTACCAGAGAGTACTTTCAAACACATTCCTAATTAGGCCGATCATGAAGACCACAGCAGCCTTGATTGCTTTATTGATGGATCGTACTCTCGCGGATTAAGCCTACTTTTGTGATAACAAAATAATCCAGATGATAATTTTTTTTGGATATTTTTAGTGTTTTTTGAACTTACTCGGTTGAATACTCGACTGAGACTCTGGTGTTGAGTGCATCGTATCTCTGTACATTCAGAATGACCTCTTTGTCTTTTTTGCAATTCAGGTAGTAGAAGTCACTCTCAAATCCAACCTCAGCGCCCACTGAAACATCTTTTGTTATTTGTTTATGCAACTAAAAAAAATTCCAGCCGCCTATAAAAAACTAATTCAACGGCAAGGCTTATAAAAATTTTATACCTTGCATCAAATTTTCTTTTTCTTTTTTGCAAAGAGGGGGGGGGTTAACAAAATTCCAAATATCATTTTGATTTTTTGCTAGATATCGAAAAATTTTATGTTTTTGTAATTTTTACTTTTCAACTTTTCAGCTGCTGCAGAAATGCGAGTGTTGGTGACTCTTTCGTTACTCCTTGTGTTATGTTCCGATTTTCGAAAAAAGCCCGGACTGGTTTTTTTTCTTTAATTCAGACCAATTTTGAAAATTTGACTGCGGATGGGTATCGATACCGAAACTTTAGAGGGCGAAGCGAGTATGCTTGCACTACACTAAAGTTCGAATGCCTCAAATAAGACTTTGGTAGTTTATTTCAATACGCAATTATTTATGCGTGGCAAATTAACCGCACTCATAATCGTTCCAAGCTGAATTCAGGCAACCTAATCGATCTTCATAATTCCATGCACGACTCAAAATTTAACACTTAAATTTTGATAGTTTCTTCATGAAATCTGTAGTTGGTCAATATTTCATTTAGCAAAAACTATTCTAGATCAATTAATGGGCAGTTGGACCATTCAGGGCTTTGCCCTAATACGAGCAGTCTTGGGTTTATTTTACATTTAAGCCAACTAGTGATTTTCATGATACATTTATGCCTAATCAAACTGAAAAACGTGTACCGCATAGACAGTTGCAGCTCCATTGGATGAACAGTCTATTTTTTCGACTTTTGAAGACAGTGCGGAATATCTATGCATGGCGTGGTGTTTTTGTTCAGTCAATTTTCAACTTCTTAACTAAGCGTTTTTGATAAAATACTCTTATACCATCTGAAAGATATTGATGTCTACAGCTCAAGTTTATAAAATTTATTACCTGTGATCATTTTTCCTAACTTTGGGGAGATGAAAATTACTAATTCCGCAAATTTGGAAAAATACGCGCGATATTTCGCGTTCTTATAACAAGCGTAAGCTGCGGATTAGTGCGTTCAAAATTAAATAGTGGCCAGCAATTTAGTCTTGATATTACAACACTAGACGCTAAACACACCCTGAGTATTTAACATAGCGTGTGGAGGGATAAAATGAAGAAACAATGACAATTTGTTTTTTTTTCTTTTTTTTTCACTTAATTTGTCAATTATTCAATTTAAAAAAAAAACACTTTTTATTGGCCTTCATTGCAGTCGAAATATCCAAGGTTTCACCTTGATATACGAGCAGTCTTGTTGTCGTTCTTAATTCAAGTTTTTACTCTCTATTGTTCCATGATTTGAGAACGTGAAGTTAATAGTTCATTTGACGGTTGCCAGTTTCTAAAAAAAAATAACCAAGTTAAGAATAATTGAGCCCAGCTTCAGGAAGTTGACCATAACAAATACCAAAGGGCCCCTGGGTCTGAACTTTTGAGTAAAAAATGTCTCAATTCCCTGAACTGTCTTCTTAAGTACAAAAACTAAAAGAGATTAAAAAGTGTCTAAAACTCTCTCTTCATTCAGGCTAGTGGCAAGCAAACTCGCTTGGCAATCGTATGTTTTCCGAATCGATACCTATTTTGCAGTCAACTCTTGTAAAATTGGTCTATATAAAAGAACCGCCAATAAGCATATATATTTCTCACTTTTTTCTCAAATCAGAACAAAAACCGACAAAATAGGCAGGGAGTGAACCTTCCTGCCCATGCGCCAATTTTTTCGAGGAGTTTAACAAGTATCTTTTGGATCCAGTTCTCAAATGGAGAAGCCTAATTATTATATTGCATACAAGGCCTTGAAAACAATTGTTCAGATACTTATTTTGCTCACAAACAAAACTCGCGCTAGCTTCTTGCTCTTTTTCCCCTCTAGGAGCTTCATGCATCAAAAATGTTTATGTAGAAAAAATTGATTCTTACTTATTTAAAGTCTTTTATAATTGATTGTAATGGGTTATACTTTCTCCGTTTTTTTTTGAAAAATAATTTGCAATGATTTCGAATTTTTCTGCCTACTAGAAATCTAAATCTAATAAGCTTTTCTATTCAAATTATTCTTTTTAAATGTTCCCACTCCCCTATCCGTTCACGAGTTTACCCCCTCCCTGCGTTTTTTTGCAACCCAACCTCCCAACCCCTCACTACTGCCCTCTCCCCGTAAATATGGAGAAAGAGGGGGTATGGGTTTCAGGCGCGGCAGGATTGTTATAAAGATGTGCACACTTCGGGGGGATTGGATGTTAGCGACAAGTTGTACGGGGGAATTGTAAATGTGGGGGTAGGTGGGTGGTTTACGTGGTGTTGTAAGCGTGGTGTAAGCGGGGAGGGTGTGTAAATTTGAGGGGGAAGTGGGTTTGTAAACGGGTGGGGGGGGGGGTAAACAATGACACGACGATGACGTGCAAGCCGCGGGGAGGGACATAAATTGGACCAGCGAGAGAAAACCAATATCAGCAAAAAAAACATTGGGAAACTAAAAAAAATAATCTCGTTTTATCTCAAGCAGTGGGTATTGTGCTAAAAAGATTGTTTGGTTTTTAATGTGCCGCACTGTGTTTGAAATATTATGAAAAACTACAAAAAATACAAAAATTAAGATTATATTCCTTTATAATTGACAATAAACAATTAAAATGGATTTCTTTAATTTGACAAAAAAAAATTACGATCCAATTTTGATAGGCTATATTCAAAATTTTTTGAATTTTACAAATAATACAGCCAGAAAAAGTATTATACAATAAACTCAGTGCGGGTGGTCGGAGGAAGACTTTAGTGGATATCTCAAATAACCTCAAGCCACAGACTAATCCGCCGGATAGGAGCGATCCAACGCAATCTGAGGAACTTTTTGTATATTTTCCGATTTACGAATTAGTCGACTATTCAGGTGAGGCTCCCCTAGATCAACGGCTATCCTCTAACCCCGGTAACGAAGCGCTTTTACAGCGTTCAAACCGAAATGTGGACCCGCCAAAATTCTATAGTAAAAGGTATTTCATAGATGTTATAGACCAAATCGACGAAACGTCTGGATGAGTTACCAACCCAATCATTTTGGACAACTCTAGCTCAAACGAGTTACAACCAACATTAGTATGCGAAAATCTTTCGGATGATTTGAACATACTATCGGATACAAACCCTCTTCTACAGATGAATCCCTAAGAATGGGCATTGAAGCATATAATGAGAACGCTGATTTGGATAGCGAACTGTTTAATGCCGAGTTAGAAAAGTTGCTCAGCGGAAACAAAAACGAAAAAAAAAACTCATTTTTTCCCTCAATTCGTTGATAGTCTTGTCTCGAAAACCCAATGTTAACCCGTACACAATCTCATATTCGCTGATTACCATATATATATAACACCTTATTTTGGCAGTAAAAAATGTTCCCTACATATTTGCAGGGACTATACTTTCATCCTTCATTCCACTTATATTTCCCAATAACAATTACACAATTCTCAGACTTATTGTTTTTTCATTGCTTACAACCATTAGATGATACATTTAATTACATCCAACACTTTTATAATTTGGAACTTTTTTAACAGTTTAGTTAAAATGTTATCCTTTGGATTCTGTTTTTTTTTTTAATTTTTTGTGGATTTGATTTGTTTAACTGCACAATTAACTTTTTAAGTTAATTTCCCTATCAATTTTTTGTTGGTGCATAATCTACTGTGCTTATTTTTTTAAACTTTCCTTTACCTTGAAGTGGAGAAAACGAGCATTTAGTTATATTTAACGCAATTAAGGTTTTTTCCTGCTTTGAGGAATGATGTGATTCCTTTTGTGTATTTTGTCTACTTAGTTCAATCTTTAGTTTAATTGATTTAACAAGTTACTTATGTTTGACCGTGATACTTTCATTCTCTCTGGCTTGTAATATTTTAACTTTCAGGTTAATGCACTTCTATTCTTTTTTTCTTTTAATAGTACATAAGAAGAGTTAGCTGTAACAAAGTAACGTTTTATCAAAATTAATCAAGAGAAGTTGAATTTAAAGAAGCATCTGATGAATCGGTGTCGGAATATTGCAAAGTCAAGCTCTGAATTTGTTTGTATTTATGTTTAAATATATATATATATATTTATATATATGCGACTTTTTTGGAATGTTAATGAAACGACCAAAATGTTACCTCAGTTCATTGTACAACGGTTCGAATTACGGAATCAATCATCACGAATAAATAGTTCACGTTACGCTGCCAAAAGGAAATTTGGTTAAAGTGCGCATAGATTAGTCCAGAACGTTCCAAATCTCAAAATACCAACAAAAAACTCGATCTTTTTTTGAGCTCCGAAAGTCTTTTGTTTTCATGAATATTCCTCATTGGGAGACTTTTAATTAAAAGCTACATTTATCATTTTGTTCGCAATATAGCTCTGAATATAAAAAATAAGTGTGAACGGAAAAAAACTTGACTAAAAAATTTTATAGCAGTCTCAAAATTGTTTTTTTATTTTGAAAATATGAAATAAAAAGATTTTAACTGCACCAAGACATCTGAAAAATGTTAGAAGTTTTACAACGTCAATTGAAGGGAGATTCAAGTGTCATTTTGATAAATATTTTAAATTGGTTGACTAAAAGAGCTAGTCATAAATTTTCTATAAAAGGAAAATTTATCATACAAATCATTCAAGTTTATGTACTTATTGATATAAAATAGCTAGAAAAAACTTTGATTCTTAACTTAACATATATGAAAATTTTATGACTAGCGTAATTCCATGAAGCAGAAATGTGCTTTTTTTGTATATGTTTTTTCAAAATTTTTGAGTTCTGTTTGTAACCGAACACAAGATACACAGACCTTGATTACTTGAGTTTTAAAAGGATACAAAAAATTTTTTGTGGGACAATTTTGAAACCACTCTGCAAAATATCGTAGTCGCAATTAAAAAATACCAGCCATACAAGGTTCATTTCTGA